TTGGGTAAGCCGTCCTGGGGAAAAAAGGCAGAAACTGTTGGGATTTATTCACGATTCTGCTGCTTTTGATGACTTATGGTCAAGTTTCTTGGGATTTTTTTTTTATTCTTTTTTTTTTATGTGACTGTATACATAAATTTATACAATTGTTTTTAAATGATGGCATAATTTAAACAAATGAAATTTCAATGTGTGTGTGTGGTAGCTCTGAATTTAGATTTTCCCTTTTTTATTTGCCCCTTTCAGTTTGCTTTTAAGCTATAGAGACCTTTCTGTATTTTAATGGTCTCAAATTCTAATCATTGAAGTCCAGCTTATAAGTGCGAGCCACCATGTTTCTTAGGATTTCTCAATTCCCCCCCCACAAAAAAGGGACAAAGCATACATATGAAACCTCATTAAAACCTTGGGCTTGTCAAATTAAAAGGAGAAAAAACAAACAGTATATTGGTCAGTAGCAGACGGGCGAGTGGGCGCGCGGTCTGTCACTTCCATCCACATTTCCTTTTGGCGTGTTGTGGTAAATGACACAACCCTCTGTCAGACTGGCTTGTCTGTGCTGTTCTAATAGGGTTGGCCAAACAAAATGCTGACTTGTCTTTGTTTCTCTGGCTGTTCCTTTAGTGTAAATTACACCGTGAAGCCATTTGCGTGAGGTTCCGTTACAGGGGACCGTGTGTCCAAGCGTCCAGTGTTTTAAGTCGGGGTTATCTTAATATTAGGACCAAAAGTGATGTGCCAGCATTGATGTTGAATTGAACCACTGTTTGAAACCAATCTAATAAGTCCCCTGTCCACCTTCTTGGTGCAAATACAATGGCATGTGGTACGTATTAGGAGAGCTGGTAGTAATTTCAGTGCTGCTAACTAAAGAATCCTCCTGGGAGGCTTAATTACAGGAAGGCCATTCTAAATATCACTGAGCTGCATATTTTCCATGACAAGAGATTTTTTTTTAGTTCCTTCAGCAGTTTCAAAGTGTAGCTACACTGGGCAGTTTAGCAGTTGTTCTACCCTCAGTCTCAGGTGATGATGACAAAAGATCCTGTGCATGTGCTGAGGGACTTAGCGCGCTGAAGCATTGTTACTTTTACTACAGAGCTGGATCAGCAGCAGGCAGAGCTCCGAGTCTGCTGCCAGCTATGTTTACAAACAGAGAGGACGTGCCAATCTCTGCCGACCTGTGTTTGTGGATCTTTACCCTGCACCGCGGGGAAATGCGGGACTCTGTAAATGTTGGCAGATTAGCATTTTTTCTTAAATAATCCTCGTGGAGCCTCAAGTCACATTCAGTTGAAATCATAATGGTGCGAGAGCCTCATCTTGTTTAAACGTGTTTGGATAATATTTGTGTTTGATACCATGTATGTTAAGAGGGCAAGATGGGTTGGCTTTAGTGTGAGGATTATGTCTTTATTGTGTCACATTTTGCCGTCTTCAATTTGCCTGCCTTCAAGCGGCTGTGGAGGTCTGAAAATAAAGAGAACGGCTCCTATAAGAAGCTGCTTTTAAAGGAAATTCCCCTCAACTAATGTTATTCACAGCAAACAAAATACCCTTCAAATGCTTATTATCTATTTAGATTTATTTTAAGTAATGTTTTATAGAAAACGTGAGCATTTTGTGAAGTGTTTGGAGGTAATAAGAAATTTGCACATTCTAATAATTTAATAGTTATAAATATCTAAGACCATCACTCTTTTAATTTTGCCAAGTCAGTGTAAATAAAGCTGCAAGCACTTTTTCAGAGAGAGAGAGAGAGAATGTAAAAAGTCTGCATCATGTTCTTAATTATGTGTGTGTATATATAGATATATTTTAAAGTGTACACGATTGTCTGTGTTACATCAAACTCCGCTGTGCAATAAACTGCAGCACATTTGTTTCTTTGAGTTAGAAATAAAATAAACACCATGTGGAACTCTGCATGCAACATTTATGTGAAAAATAAGAAGGCCTTCCCTCCCTTATAGCGTCTGAGGAAGATATTCTGAAAGGCAAGCAGTCCATCAGGGGTCAGGCTCTGGGAAATCAGAACTCGGAGAGTGAGACGTCACTGGACGGAGACGACGACACGCTGTCGTCTTTAGAGGAGAAGGACCTGGAGAACTTCACAGGTAAACAAGCAGCTTAGTCTTCCTCACCTGCTTAGCAGTTATTGCCACCCTCCCCCTTATTTACTCTAATAAACTTTGTAATACCCTGTCATACTTCTTTCACTCTTATGTGCTGGCTTAATTTTTTTCTGTAACAGACTATTGAATTTTCTGAAATTCATACTTTTTGATTGGTTGCTTGAAAGGACAAATTCCTTTTAAACATAGAAAAAGGCTGAAGTAAAGCCTATCACTTGTTCCACAGAACAGTTTGTTAGGCACGCAGTTTTCTTTCTATGGCGATTGCTTCACAACCACACACAGGCCCGAGAATAAACTCTTAAAATACTTATTTTTTCACATTGCACAACTGGTCTATCCCAAGTTCCGCCTTCCTAAAATAAAGCACGACGCCTTTGCTTCGTGTTAGGGATGAAACTCTGCACAAGCCTGTGAGCCTGATAAGTTTCCTCCAACAAACCTAACCCAAAGACACTGCCTACTTTTTAAAAAATTATATCTTATTTGCATAATTTATCCCTGATTAAAATATAATATATTCTCCTAATAGGATTGCAGTGTAATCCACATTAAACTGTGGAAAGAGGGTTCAGAATTCTGTTAAATTAATGCAACAATGGGATTGACTGTGAAGTCTTGTTTAATCTGGTAATATATATTACAGCGAAAATGGCCCAGAAGCTGTTAGGAAAAAAAAGAAAAGGCTTGAACTCGTCCTTTTGAGCAGCTGTCTGCTCCAGGTGCAGCTGGATGTCTTTGAGTGAAAGGAACAAAAACTGTTATTTCAACCCACGGATAACATGTCAGTACTCACGGGGTTCACGAGAAGCAGAGGAATTAATATATATCCGTTTGTACCATCCGTTTTTTTGCACGGGTGTCCTGGGGCTGGGGGAAATCATCTGCACACACACACACACACGCAGCCCGGGGAGGCGCAGGGCCGCCGGCAGCCTGCTCCCGCAGCCCCCCGAGCCAGCTCTCATTGTCATACAGGCATAAATTAAGATGGATGAGAGATGAAAGAGCTTCTCCCGAAAGCCCGCAATCAATGCGCCGTGATGGACAGTCAATTCTGACGATACACGCTTTAGGATGCTGCGTTTCAGTTAAAAACCAGCTCCCTATAATCTGCTCTCCTCCCATTTCAACCTGAGTGTTTGTGATTTTCTTTAAAGAAAAATAGATGTGTAACAGGGAGTGTTGGCATAAGCACGTTGAGCTTAGACTTATTTTATATTTTTGCGCATATATGTAAAGTGTGTGTGTGTGTGTGTGTCTGAGCGGCTCGCCTCTGTCCTGCAGGCCCGGTGAACGTGAGCACGAGCGCGCAGCTCGTGGCCCCGGCCGCGGTGGTCAGGGGCACGCTGTCCATCACCGCCTCCGAGCTCTACTTTGAGGTGGACGAGGACGAGCCCGGCTACAGGGCCATCGATCCGAAGGTAAGAGGCTATGGTCGAGCTCCACCGGGAGAGAAAACGTTTAGCGCCTGAAATAAAGCCATGGGAACGGTGGCCATGTCTGGTGTTGTTTTAGTCTGAAATGAAGGAAAAGTGGAGCCACTCCGGCGTCCATCTGAGTCTGTTGAAATAACTGTAAACGTGTTGAATTGTCACGTCTCAAGTGGCCTTTAATATATTTCCAAACTACAGTTTCTTTTATTTATTTATTGCATTTAGTTTTTTTACTGGCTGTATTTGAATATAGACTAAATAAAAAACCCTAAACTCCAATCAATTTATTGTTCCTAAGGAATATTTATTTATTGAGACCTAATCTAAATGGATATTTAATTTAAAAAAAAATGTCATTCTAATTTAACAGTCTTTTTATCTTGTTTGTTTTTTATTTAAATATTTAGCAGAATAAATAACATTTCAGTATTATTCCCCGGTTTGAAATAATGAGCCATAATAAAACCAGGATCGCTCCTTTAAAACAGCTGACGGCTGCTGAGCCACAGGTGGCTGTGTGTTGTAGGAGAATCTCCACACTCCGCCGCACGCTCTGTTTCACAGAAAGGTGCGTTTGTATATTTAAACATGTCATCTTAATAAAAGTCCATATTTAGTGCGAATGCTCCGGGAAAAACTCGGGCGTTATACGAACGTGTCACGAGCCGAGCTGGAGAGTCGGAAATCAGTCCATGAGTCATGGAGGTGTTGCTGCTGCGGGCCTGCAGCTTCCAGGCCCGATATGAACACCATGTCTGCAGATTTACATTCATTTGGAGGTCCTGGTGAGCGTGTGACGCTCCGTGCACATGACTTATGGCCTGAAGTTGGCCAGGCAGGCGCCCTTTTGTTGTCTTTTCATTTCACGAAAAATAAATTTCCCCATGTCTCCTGTTGACTTTAGTCAGAATCTACCATGAGCAGTTCTACAGCTCCTCGGTCTGTCTCCGTCAGACAGTAAGAGTAGAACCCTGTCCTCATCTCAGGCTGTCAAAACACGAGGCCAAGTTGTAAGTTAATTTGCAACATTTTATTAACATTTTCTTCTGAAGTCACATCATTGAAAAAAAATGAACTTGGCACGCTACAGCTTGTTCTTTCACTTAACGGTTTTTTGTGCATATATTTAAATAAAAGTTCCTTCACTTTGTGAAAACATTTAAAGAAGACAACTAAATCGTATTACATTTATCGAAAATGTACCTTCGGCTTCCCTGTGGCAGTGGCCCAATTGCTTCCTTCTGTTTGTTGATTTCTTTTCTTTCTTTTTTTTTTTAAAGATCTGCTTCGTGGTTTTATGCTGCATTGCTTGTGTCATTTATTTTTTTCACATTTCTTGGAGACTCGGCTGGAGAAAAAAAAAAAAAAAAAAAAAAAGTCCTTAAGTTTTTTTGTCCCAAAAATGTCTCTCTCTCTCTCTCTGAGCGGTTCATAATTTGTCCAAACTTTTGGCGTTGGTGAGGATCTCTCTCGCTAGTCTCCACGTCTGCTTGGCAGCAGCCTCCAGGGCCGAGTGAGGCTTTCCCTGAAACAAGTCCAAGTTGGGCAAGAAGTAGTGGGGGCATCTGCGGCACTGCAGGCAGGAGATGAGCTGCAGCAGGATGCCGTTGAGCCGGTCCCCCAGGCACGACTCGTCCCAGTCCGTCTCGCGCGGGTGCTTCTCGCACTCGTACAGCAGCAGCGTCTTCATGTGGTAGTTGTGCAGCGGCTGGCCGGGCAGCTCCAGGTGCCGGTCCCGGAGCGTCTTCAGGATGGACAGACACTTCTTCCGGCAGCCGGCCATGAGCAGCCGGTTCTCGGCCTCGCTGAACTGCAGCACCCAGGCGTCGCTCTCCGCCGAGCTCTGCTTGCCGGTCAGCGAGTAGCACTCCTTGGAGAGGAGGTTGAAGCCCTCCGCCTTGACCTCGGCCACCCGGTTGGGCCCCGGCCACGGGATGTGGGGCATGGGCCACTGGGCCGCGCTCCGGGGCCAGATCCCCGTGCACTTGAAGGCGGGCGTGATCTGCACCACGTACCGCTCGCGGATCCGCAGCTTGACCTCGCTGGTGTCGGCCACCATCTTGACCACGTCGCGGTAGCTGCACTTGTCCACGGCCTGCGCCACCAGCGTCTGGAACCTGGAGCGGATCTTCCGGGCCGAGAGGTAGCCGGAGGCGGTGATGAACTCGACCCACAGGGACATGCTCCTCTTCCGGCCGTCGCTCAGCTTCAGCACCGCGCAGCCGGGCAGCGAGCCGTCGTCCACGAAGTTGAACACCCCCATCTGGTTGAGGTAGAGCACCACCTCGAACTCGTTGGGCGAGATGACCTCCATCCCCTCGTAGCGCGCGTCAATCTCGCTGAGGGAGCTGATGAAGCGGGGCTCCTGCACCTCCACCTCCTTCAGGACATCCGACACCACTTTGCAAACCTCCCGGATGGTCTTCGCAATGGCGGCTTTGCGCGCCTGGCACCTCTCGTTGTAGTACTTGTTCAGCTGGTAGACCAGCTTCGCCTGCGTGGCTATCATGTTGGGGCAGAGGTCCGGGCTGTACACCGGAGAGTCGCAGTAAGTTGACGGATCCAACGCTTACCGGTAAAGCCAGAGGCAAAACGCTTCCCCCGCGCAGAAAAAATGTGTAATCAAAGTTTTTTTTTGTTTTTTTTTTTCTTCTTCTTTTTTTGTTTTTTTCTCTTCTTGCTTTTTGCAGCGGATGGACGTCAGTGTGAGGAGGAGGAAACGGATAGTGATGCAACCTAGTAGCTTGCCTAAATGTCAGTCCAACTCGTGAGCACTCCCAGTGCAGCTAAGAGGATTCATATCCGTGTCCTAACCATCCGCGTCCTGCCTTGAAGTGGCCCCCAAAAAAACTAAAACCGCCGCCCGCGAGCGCTCATCTCCTCCTGATGCTATTCTCTCCTGCATGCGCGCGCGCCCCTGCTCACTTTTGCTCCTCACTCAGCTTTGAGTAGGACCTGTGTAGTTTATGAATGGTTCCTTTAGAAGACGGAGAGGGGGTCGGGCTTCTGCTCCTGCAATCATGTGCGGAGCTGTCAGTGCGGCCAGCCAATCAGAGGCGGCGGAGGGAGACGCTCGCGCGCCGGGGCTCCGGAGCGCGCGCCGCTGCCCGCCGCTGCACAGTCCTCCCCGGGAAACGCCGACCTCCCGGATTTTACCGGCAAACCCTGGCCTACAACCACTCAGTTAGTAATAAATAAAACAAAGCAAAACAATAATTCAAAGAGCGATGTTGTTCTAAGCTCGCTATTTCGCTTGGTGCGTTTTAAGAATTAGGATTTTATGATCCGGCCATGAAGTTTCCAGCTGCGTGTTTTTTTTGCTGAGTCCCCTCGCTTTCCGGGTTTTAATTGTATCTATTTATTTTTCCGAATGAACAAGTTTAATTTAGTTTTATTCTAACCTCAGCTGAAAGGCCAATAACCGCCACGTTTCCTCTCACCGATTAGATATATTTTTGTTCCTCACGTCCTGACTCCTTCTCTATGTAGAAAAAGAAAGGTTGCGTGGGCTTATTTCGGGAAACCTTCGTATTTACGGATATCACTGCTTCTTCTATTTTTTCGTAATAGGGGTCTCGCTCCAGGTACTGTCAGCTGAGTCTACTTTTTTCTTTTTGTAAAAGAAAACCAAAGCAATACATTATTTATGGCATTCATTTTGCTCAGATTTTAATATTTCCATTTTCTGAGATGCATATTCGGAATCAATCCACGGAAAATCACAATTTTTATTATATGAAGAGTAAACGTTGAATGCTTTGGAATATGATTGCTATATTTGTTTGTATCCATGCGCTTTTAAAGCGGTAAATGTGCGGAATGCACCTGCAGCAGCCTCGGAACGCGTTCAGGTAGATCACTGAGAGCGATTTGTGTGTCATTCAAACTGATCCCTTTTGACAAATGTATTTAATGTTTTTTTAAAGACACAAGTTGTGAATTTAAAAAAACTATTTTTTGGTTATATTTAAACAGTCAAATACTGTTTGGAGTTCAGAATCTGTGAACTGGTGAGTTTATCGCCATCAGCGTAGAGACGGTGTCTACGCTGAATAATTTAACCAGCTGTATCCCCGAGGTTCTATAAGTCCCTCATATCAAATGGACATTAGGCTGGAGAGCTAAAGAAGTCATTACATCCTCTTACAGACAAGGGGCAGTGGTGTGAGACACATTTACACATGCATAAATGTGCGAGAAATAAAGCCTGTTAGAACCTTATCTTTATCTGTAGGAGTAAATGTTGTCAGTTGTGGCTTAGCTGCAATCTTTGTGTGGACCTTTGGGACTTTAAGTCTATTTTATGAAAATGTATTAGTACTAAAGTTAGATAAACTTAAAATATATTTAGAAATATTTTAGATTACATTTTATGCTTAAACAAACGGATTTGATACATTGATGAAGATTGTTGTGGAACTGTGTGGAAAATGAGATAAAATAGAAATAAATCCAGTCAGCTGCATCTCATTGAGCTTACATGCCCGAGAGTTGCTCTCTAACAGGGAGGCCTGTTAAAGCTGCCAGTGGAAATGCCTCTGAATGGTTTTCTGCTATTTTCTTAAAGCCGAATTTTCACTGAGTACTCTAAACGTCATATCAGTCTTTTCCAAGGCTTATAGTGAATTTAAAAAAATGCATGACCACATATTAAACTTTGACACTTGTTCCAAATTTATTTTAGACAAGGCAGCATATTGATTCAGTAATGATTTCCAAAAGCCTACTTACTGATATGAAGTAGCCAACTATGCAAAGGAGTCTGAAAGAAGCCACAAACATTTCAAAAAAGGAAAAGATGAATGACTCCCCTCTTCAGAGTTGCCACATCCTCTGGACTTCGTCATGCAACCTTCTCCTCCAGTGGGAATGCGGGTTTGAGGAGTATAAAGTCACTCTTGCTTGAATTTGTAGAGTGTTGTTTGGTGTGAAATGATGTGTAGAGCAGCAAAGATTTAGAGAATCTAAAAGCATTCATGCAAATGTATTTAGGCTAAGACTGCATAAGGAATGTCTTATCCCAGACAAAGGCTTTGCGTGGTTGGGCAAGCTGTTCAGATGACTCTGGGATGAGCTTTGCGCAGAGTTTATGTTAATTATGACTTCCTACTCGGTTAAATGAACTTTTGGGTCAATGAAGAGGTTAAGTGTCAGATCAGTTTCTACTCAAAAGGAAAACATTTAAAAGGAAACATTTCTTACATGTTAACTTTGTTGGATTTTCATTCGTATTCTCCTAAAAAAAAACAGTAGAATGTCCTCCCGGTAAAATAAAATAATGGGCTCAGAGATGGGTGAGAAAATAAATACCGGCTTTAAAACTATATTAATTGTGAAATGAGATTTGGCAGTTTGTCCTTCACCACAGAGTGGATGAAAGGGTTGTAATTTTAAAATCTGGCCTTGTAACTTAAAAGAAGCGAAAAGAACGACCTGGCTTTGTCAGGCTGCTGATTATCAGGCTCATGGCTCCAGAGAGATGAATCTGTACTACTTGTAGAGCAAGTGTCAAAATATTATGAAGGGCACCGACTTTAACTTTATAAGATATAGACGACATCAATTCACAGCTTTAAATAATACTATGATTCCTTTGTGGGGAGCATGTTAGAATATGTGCTGTTTTTTAAATTTATAATTATAGGATGTTTTATGAAATGCATACGATTACTTAAATTTCACTGTGAACTGGTGGAAATTGAAGCAATGTTGCTGACAAAGTTCTTGGAGCAGAGGTTTTCACATATGTTTCTTTACATCTTTTAATTTCTTCCTTCACACAGTTTAGAGTAATTGTAAGTGTAAGCATGTCTCTAATGATAAAGACCCACCTATTGTTGCTCACTCATGGTCCCTGAAAGTGTTCGGAAAACATTAAGCATCATCTGTGGTTGCTGAAAAGTTTCTTTCTTTTTCACATTGACTGGAGAAAAGAGCAGGATGATGTCAAAGGGTTCTTTGATCTATACTGTGAGACTCCAGTTTATCCCTTCATGAGTGTTTGTGGCTTTGCCGTTCTGTGTCAGCCCTTGAACAGCCTCCCTCCATCATTTTCTCCTTTATCTCTTTTCTTTTTTCATGATGCCCCATTCAGAATGTACACACCTCACTTTCTGTAGTTGCATATATAAGAACAATCTGAGGATAAGGCAAGGCACGTTTATTTGTTTAGCGCAATTTATTTCCAAGACAATTCAAAGTGGTTGGAAAATCTGAAATTAGTTGTCAGAATACATTTGAGGACTTTTAAGAATATCTTGTGTAATGAATGGGACATCTTGAAATCAAGTTATATGTGACTGCTTTTTTGGGGTATATTTCCCCTGACATGAACTGTGCTGAATCTTAAATATGACTCACCAGTACACCGAATGGCACCACTTTGTGCTTTGACAAGACTGCGCAGATTTCGGGGAGCAAGATAGACACAGGCATGCGCACACAATCCACACGTATAAAGACCAACACACACGTGAATTTTTATGTTCTTGTTCACACACGTCGGTGTCCCCGACATCCATGTGGAACCAGCTGCCGGCTCCACGGAGGAATCAAAGAAAATCATCTCGGGCAACTAATTGCTTGGCAGACCTCTACATCTGCTCTGCAGATAGCAGAACAGATGAAGCCATGCAGCAGATGTGCTCCTGCATGTGTGCGAGTCTGTGTTTAGCAGCTCCCACTCTGTGTTTAGAAGCATGCCATCAATATTGCATGTGGAGTTATTGTTGCTGGAGCCTGCTAATATTGCATATATGAGGATGTGAAACTGGCGGTATCCTCCAGCTAATTAGTTTAAAGAAATATCAGCAAAAACCTTACTGGAGGATATCTGTCTATAGTTTGAATCACAGACCATATCTGTGTCCCCTTAAAAATCCATTTTTTTAAGAATCTGTGCTTTGGGTTTCCTTTTTTTTTACATTAGGTAAATGTCAAATTGATTCTCAGGAATACAAGCAGATTCATTTGAGTAATGTTGGAAGTTTTAATGGATATGACTCACTACTCGCTATAATAAAAGGTCTGCTCACAGAAAATGATACTAAACTATGAAATGTTCAAAGAGCTGATTTAGGAGCTGCAGACAGAACTGGAACAGATGCAGTGAATATATTCAAATACAAATGATTTTTCCATTTATACTCTCACAAAGGTTTTACAACTTAGTTTGCATTTGACGTTCCCATGCATGATTACTATGCACACTTTAGCTTGTTATTGAAATACTGACGTAGAAATTCAAACAATATCCATACAAAAGATATATTTTCCTTTTTGTAAAGCTAAAGTGAAATATTGACATTATGAAGCAAAGTTTGGGTACAGGTGAACTCCATGGAACATTTTCTAGCTGATAAGGTTGTGAAGCAACAATATCTATGTAAAAAAGGGGCGGGGTTTACAGCTCAGTGACTAACAGGTGGGTAAATATTCAGGTGGCTTCTCCAATGCATGGAATTAATCATACAGGATTTGTCTCACCTTCAAGTGAAAAAAGTTTTTATCTCACTCAAGGCTTAAACTGCCCATTAAAAAAGTCACATCTGTCATGTCAAACATTAAAATGATGTGACCCACCAGCTGTTAAGTGCTTAAAATGGCTGACATAGTCCCACAACTGACTGCTGTTTTGCAAGATATAATGTCAATTTAAAATATTCCCTGAGACAAATGTATTGCAAACACTTTTAATGTAGCCCCAATTTTAACTCTCCGGTGACACTATCATGTATTTGCTTTAAACCAGACATGGCTGATCCTCTTGCCCTTTTTAAGGCTTTATAAAAAAAATAGCATTGTTTTTCACTTCTGCAGTGTCTTCAGGCCATGAGGGCAGTTCAGGGACTCTGGAAGGTTTCTGAAAACCATTTTTTACTCAGCTAAACTCATCCCTGTGTCCTCAAATCCAAGTTTAAACTTCAAGATTGGCATTGGTAGGATGGACATATTTGTTGATATGTGGGTGCAAAGGATGGGGCACTTGCAGATGTGGGAAGGCACTGTAAATGCTGACTGTGAAACGGGGTTTGGGGCAACACATGAGATCAAATATGAAACCATTCTGCTTGTCAGCAAATCTTTATTAAAGAACATTCTTCAAATTTTACAACCACATGTCTTCGTGGTAAAAGGGCCTAAGAACTCCTAAACTGGGTGCCTGCTGCCCAGACCTTTTTACCCACTCAAAACATTTGGTCCGTTTTCAAATTGAAATTACAACAAAGGAGGCTCTAACTGTTGAGCAGCCAAAATCTGTAATCAAGTAAGGATGGATCACATTTTTTCATAATCTTCTCAGTACCCCAAAATATGATAGACCAGAGCTGGAAACCTGACCCCACACGTTGAGAAAAATGTTGCCACCAACAAACTCCAAATTAACATATATCTTTGAAAAAGTATTGGGTGATCAGGTTCAGCGTGGTTGCCGTTTTTCAGTTAAGATAGTGGTTTTTATGAGGGTAAACATAGGTTTATTTTAATCGGTATTGAATCAAATGTGCTGTGGACATCTTCACTGTGACAGAAATATATCCTGAATTAATGAGCCAGACTTCATTCCAAAGGTTAGCGTAGAAATGTAGAAAACACAGTGTTTAAAACCCCACTGAGAAGACATTGGTAACTCTAATTAGTGGGGCGTTGACAGCTACCCAGGGTTAGTCGGAGTGGGTGAATGGATGGTCATTCAGTCAAAGAGAAACCACCCCAGTGTTATGTAGCTACCAGCCCCATATCGTTAAGCTCTCCCTAAAGCGTCAAACTGCTGTGACCACATCCCCTTCACCCCCGCTGCTCGCTCCGCCAAACCCTCATGGTCACCAGGGACGACCTTCGACTGGAGCTGCCAATCACAAAGAGCCATGGCAGAAAGGGGTCTCTGAGAGAGGAGCCTATTGATTTTCCAGTTAGAGCATAAGTAGTGTGTGCTATAGAGCCAACAGACAGCCCAAGCAGGTATGTCATTATCAATGAGCCCACGGAAACGGATCCTCTCACTCATCCATACTGGCCTCCTTCCTTCCTGAGATCCCTCCTTCATTCTCTTGTAGTCTATTGGTCCAAGCTGACGGAGCGCTTCTTTGAAGTGGTCGATAAATCGCTCAGCCACACTACGGCAACAACTAGTAGACTGATGGGTTAGGATGACCCCCTTTCTCGTTCTGTCTCATTTTGCCATCCCTGACTCCCAGTTACAGTAATTACAGCACCTGGAAGATATAGAATGTTTCCTTAAAAGAGACGGACAGCATGGAGAGTTAAAATCATAGCAGTTGTTTGTTTTGTTTTGGGGTTTTTTTGTTAAAAGAAACGGCAGCATTGAGGAATGATTTTAGAAAGTTAGACTACAGAAGTCCATGTTACATTTTTCACACCTTCTGTGATACATTTCTGGTCAGCTCCATCTGTAAGGATGAGGTTTGCAGCTTGTTTGGAAAAATGGAGCATTTATGACTACTGCAAGAAAACGTATCAATTATTTACTGCAGATATTGTTATGGAATGTGTTGGGTATAAATACTGTTTTTGTCCAGACTTAATATCTCATCAGATATGATAATGTGGTTCTATGTAGTGTTAAAATGCAATCAAAGGTTTGATCTCACTGGTTCTGGTGCCTTTTTAAAAACATATTTTTGTATCTTTTTGCCCTTTCTATATTTGTTATTATTCAGTGGATTATTTTCCACTCCTTTTAGCCTTGCCACGATATCAGCGGTAAATCTTGTGCTAAGCAGGCCAAAGACTCTCAACAGAAGGAGGTAACCAGGTGGGACAGTTCAGGGAAAGACGGCAACACATTGGTAATTACGTAAAGGAGCATTAGACTCGGTCTCATCTCACCACTTAATGATGACTAATGTCTCCCCTCCAATTGCTCCGCCATTTCACTCACAACCAGGCCCCATCTCTCTTCACAAACAAACATGCTGCTGTTGACCTGACTTTGGACCTCGGCTCGACGACAGACCACTGCGACCAAGACCTGCTTCTCACTTAACCAAGCGTCTGAGGACAAAGAGCCTCCGCCCCTCTTTGCACCTGAGCCCAGCCCCTCCATCATGCTCCATCTCTGGGCTTGACTGAGCCAGTCAGGGGGCAGGTGCCTCCCCTCCCTCCCATGATTGATCCCCTTCCCATCATTTATTCTCTTCGTCTGCCTCTGACACAAGTGTCAAAGGCAACACAGCAGCCTGATGGATAGGCCTGTTTATGGATGCCAGTCCGCCTGGTAGGCCACTGATATTACAATCGGCACCTGTGTACCTGCTGTTCGCACAAGCCGCTGTTATTCAGCTGAGGTCAGGTGAATTCTGATTGAAAGATCGATGTCCAGCTTCACATGGCGGGGATTGGAATTGTTAATGGGGTTTTGTTTTGTCAGATAGCCCTCTGCTGCATTTCAGA